CAGCCGTTTTTCTCCTTTTCTCTGGCCGAGGTAGCGTGTGTCGGAGCGGGACATTGCGACCTCGATGGGTGACTGAGGTGCTCGAGGGGAAGGTGAAACCAAGGGGATCTACGCTGCATCCCTGCCGTGTCTCGTATGAAGGCCGATCGTTGGCCCGAAGCTGCTGAAAGCTTTAAAGACGGCCGGCTGTCCTCTCCTCTCCCGATGGAACGCTGATGGGGCACTTTTGCCGCGCCGCACGCCGTCGCTCGACTGTCGATGCGCTCGTCCGATGTCGAGCGCTGTCCGCTCCGTCGCCATCGCCCGTCGGATACGGCGCGACCAAGCAGGGCCAGGGGGCAGCGTGGACGGATTTCGAAGAAGCCGAGCAAGGGATCCAAGCTGCGAGGACCCACGTTTATCCCCTGCGGCGGGGCTGGCTGTCTCGCCTACGGCATGTACCGGTCGGTGCGCCTGCGTGCGTGGCCTCGGTTGAGGGTGCGGCGTCGGCGTCGTCCTCGTGGGCGTTTGACGCCCAGCGCCAGGCCAGGTCGTGGTGCCGAATCCAGCCCCCCTTGGCCAGCCGGGATGTGAGGCGGTATGCATCTGCCAAACCAAGGAGCGGGAATCGAAAACCGACAACAAGAAAGTCCAGACCCCGCTCGCGCCCTCAAAAGTCGAGCCGGCTGCCTGGACCAGACGGGATCGGCAACGTACAGCAGCTTCCTTTCACCGGGCTGGCCGCCAACCAGCGAGACGGGCAGGCGAACCACACCCGCCCCCCGGTCTACCTGGTCCCGGCGCGCTTGTGTGCGGCCAGCCTGGTCCCTCCAGACACAGACAGACAGAGGGAGCAGAACGTGCTGCCTGCTGTTGGTCGGATCCATGCTCGGGCAAACCAGGAACGCTACGACGAGGTGGCACGGATCGCGCTCTCGATGCCGTCGAGGTAGCCTCTATGAGCCTCTCTTCCAACAAAGTTCAAGACTCTGCGCTCGTGTACATACACACGCCGCTGCATCGAGCCAGAGTGACGGGGCGGCGGTGGATCGGTCGAACAAACACACACAGGCTCAACCGACGCGGGGGCAGGACAGGCTCGTGAGTTAAGAGGGGCATGGTGCGGCTCATCTATCGCCTTGCTTGGCTTGCACATGCACACCCAGCTGAGGGGACAGCAGGCAGCGGGTGCGGGCGGCAAAGAAGCAGCGAGCAGCGGCGGCGAGCCTCTGGTGCAGGAATTTCAAGGGCCCTGGCCCCATCTTCCCGCTCTGCAGTGCCCGCTTGCAGCTGCTTCTTGGCTAGGGACCCCCTCCCCGAGCCCGCATGTTGCCTCTTGTCGTCGACCATGGCCATCATTTGGCATCCGGCCGTCGGCCTTTCCGGACTCTCTCTCTCACGGCCTGTCCGTCGGCTTCCCCTCGGCGTGGCTTTCTGTCTCGACTCGCCAGCTCCCTCGACGACTCGAGCACTGCACGGTACCAACCATCGCTCACTTTTGCTTTTGCCGGCCGGCCTCTTGTCGCCCACGGGCACGCGCACACGACCACCGACCGGCTCGCCCGCCGCCATCGCCGCCATCTACCGCTACATACCTATGTAGCTTGACCTGCCGCCTGACCTGCTGCACCTCTGTGAGCGGAGTTGAGCTCTCGTGCATAATCTTGGCCGCCATCAGCGCGTGGCCAGGCAGGCGGTCCTCTCCGACCCGGCAGCAGCAGCAGCAGCACTCAAAACGAGGGTCCACCATCGCGCCCTCGAAAAGACAGGCACCACCACCGTCCCGCTGGCCGGCCTCCCGCGGCGCCCTGGTCACCATCGCCATGGCCCGCGATCATCGCCACCGCTGCGACCCCATCTCTCGGCTCGCGCCATTCCGCGGCCCGACACGGCAAATCATTGTCCCATCCTGATGGCGTGCAAGGCTGCTCCGCCGCTTGCGCCCTCTTTCTGGCCAAGCCGATGGCACAGTCCCTCGCGTCCCGTCAACTCGTGCCGACGGAGCGTCCGGCGTCCCGACTCCGTCCCGAGAAGTATCAACGGTGAGTACCCCCGTTCATTTTGACGCAATGGCCCCTTTCAAATTCGAGCCCTCCGCCCTGCTTCCGTAACTACGGTACCTACCTAACCTTTTTTCCCGTGTACACAAGGTGCACCCTAAACAGCGCCAGCGTTTGAGCCTTGTCCGTGGCTACTGCACATCCGATGCAGAGGGCACTGTACCCTCGATTCACGCCGCCGCCGTGAGCAGATGGCCAGCGCACGTCGCCACCCTCCGCCGCTGTCACAATTGCCCGTCCGCTCCACTCCAATGAGTGGCTGGCTGGCTGCGGCACCATGGCCAGCAGCACGGCGGCAGGGAGAGGCCCCTCTGGCGTCCAAACCGCCAGCCAACCTCGCCTCAGCAGGCTCGAGGTATAAGATGGGTGGCAAGGGCGTCGGGCCGTACCATTTTCGCTTCTCTTCCGTCACTCCATCCTACTTCCCCCTACATCCCCGGCCTCGTCCCAGCCGCCCGCCCCGCGCCCCTACATCTCTGCGAGATCCAACGAGCCTTGACGAGCCCAGCGCTTCCATCAGGTCGTACCCAAAACAGGACCTCTCACCCCGGTCCGCCTATACCTCTTACGACTATACCAACGACACAGGAAGACATCGGTCGAGCTGGAATCGCCGCCTCTTTCCTGACGCAGACCCGCGATCGTAATCACAATCGCAAACCGCAGCAGCACCGTCCACCTGCCTCGTCGCCTAGCAATATCAAGATGCAGCTCTCTCTCAACATCCTTCCGCTCCTTTCCCTCGCCCTCGTCCTCCTCGCATTCGCTCCCTCGACCGAGGCGCACCAGCGAGGCCTGGCGTGGGGCACCAACGACTCTTGGGGGTCCAAACTGACCGGCGGCCTGTACACGTGGTACTGGCACTGGCAGGACGGTCCGAACCGCGTCTTTGACGGCAAGCTCGAGTTTGTCCCGTGCTTCTGGGGCAAAAAGTACGCGTCGCTCTGGCAGGCGCGCAAGAGCGAGATGGCCCAGAAGCTGCCCAAGGCCATCCTCGCCTTCAACGAGCCCGACATCGCGAGCCAGAGCAACCTCCAGCCCGCCGAGGCCGCCCGCCTCTTTCAGCAGGAGCTCCAGCCGTACAGGAGAAAGGGCGTGCGCGTCAGCAGCCCGCAGATTGTCTGGAACGTCGACTGGCTCTCGAGCTTCATGAAGGAGTGCAACAAGATCGGTTGCGATGCTGGTGAGTGGTCGATGGCAGCGCGACGCAACGGCGATTTGCCTGCCTGCGCCCACGGCGAGCGAGTGGCGCTGACGATATCGTCTCCCTCCCTCCGTGACGCTTGCTTCCCCCGGCCTCCTCTCTGAGCAGACTTTATCGCGCTGCACTGGTACGGAGGCTACAACGAGCTGCAGAAGCTCAAGGACTACGTTACGCGCGTCTACCGCACCTTTAACAAGCCCATCTGGATCACCGAGTACGGCGTGACGTCTGCCGGCGGCGGCTCGCAGGCGCAGGTCAAGCAGTTCCACGTCGATGCCACCAACTGGCTCAACTCGCAGCACTACGTCGAGCGCGCCTCGTCGTTTGGCGCCTTTGCGGTGTCCAACCCGCCAGACGCGTTCGGCTCGAGCAAAAACGCCCTCTTCAACAGCAACGGCAGCCTCCGCGACCTCGCCTACTGGTACGTCCACGGCGCCTCGAAGCGCGACGTGGTCGATGACGCGGTGGTTGATGAGGCCGTCGACGGCGCAATCGAGGAGGACAAGGGCAGCGCGAGCGCCGATGGAGACAGGATTCTCCAGGCCTCCGTGCCCAAGGCCCGCTTCGCCAAGCGGAGGCTCGACCAGGCTTGAAGCCTGGCAGGCGGCGCGTTTCTCGATTCGACCGTGACATACCTGGATTCTCCCTGGTGGATGGAGCTGGAAGCTCGAGGCAAGGTTACGAGTAGCGCGGAGGACACTCTTTTTTCGTTTGGACTCGGAGCTTCCCCCCTTCCCCGCGTTTTTTTCACCACCTCGCTGTCTGTCGCTCTCTTGGTCTGCTCGGCGTCTCGGTACTCTGAGCCTCACTCGCAATGGGATGGTTTCCGCAGACATTCTTAGGGCCGCAGATGCCGGTGCGCCGGTGGGGCTCTGACTGGCATCGGCTTTGGTGTGACTGTTGAGAGAGCGAGACGGGCCCTGGGTTGGCCGCTTACTGGTCGGGGGAGCGAAGAGTGCCGGCCAAAGGCGATCGAGTTGCAAGCGGCCGTGGGAGCTGTCCAGCATCGCCGCAGCCTCTGCCGATGGGTGCTGCCCGATGCCTGCACAATTTTGCTGCGCGCGCCGATCCGCTCGACCCCTGCCTCACCTCTGACATTTTGCCGTGGCCGAGCGGGGGGACGCCGAGGCCGGTCCGTCGGTCCGGAGTCTCCGCCTGGAACGCGACCCGTGCGCTCGGCGACATCCTCTTTGTCCCTCCTCCCGCACGTCGTTTGGCTTCTTGCCGGCACAAGCCAGCCAGCCAGCCGGCCCTCTGCCAGCAGCAACGGCGGCGACGGCGGCGGCTCTGTTCTTCCCCGCAAATGCAAAAACAGGGGTCCAGTCCTCGAGCGGGCTGGCCTAAAAACGTACGGCCGCGGCTGGGTGCCCGGCGTGGCACCGTCAACAGCCCGGTCACCGCTCCGCTCGCGCCCTCACCGCCCGGCCTGATCTGTGCGCACCGCGTCCTCGGCCTCGCCTCGCCCTCCTTGGCTCCTCTCCCCGTGGAAGCTTTCTTCTTGGCAGGACGGCTGGTGGACGGGCTGGCGAGAAAGGGGCGGAAACGGTAGGGCAGCGGCCAAGCTCGGCCTGCTCGTCGCTGCCGCCTCGTCGACGGACCTACTTATACCGCTCGCACTCGAGGGGCCATCGTACTGTCGCCCTATCTCACCCCTTCATCGCCACCATCACCGCACCTTTTCCCCCTCACCTCTCCGCTTGACGACCTCTCGCGGCGACCTACACCCACACATACACGCTTGCCACTATGCAGATCCAGGGCTCCACGCTGATCGTGACGGGAGGATGCGGAGGCATCGGCGGCGCCGTGGTCACCGACCTGCTCTCGCACTCGGCCAATGTCGTCGTCATGGACATCCACGACAACGAAAAGGGCAAGCAGCTCGTCTCGTCGCTCGCCCCCTCGTCGGCGGGCAAGTCGCTCTACATCCAGACCGACATCACCGACCAGGCGTCGTGCAAGGCCGCCTTTGACCAGATCCTCTCCTGGACCTCGTCCAACGGCAGCAAGCTCGTCGGCCTCGTCCACTGCGCCGGCATCGCGCTGCGCCGGCCGTGGACCGAGTCGTTTGTCGACACCATCGACGGCTTTGAAAAGATGCTGCGCGTCAACACGCTCGGCACCTACGTCATCAACGCCTTTGCCGCCGACGCCATCACGTCCCAGTACCGCGACGCCGACGCCAAGGCCAAGCAGGCCGCCGGCTCCAAGTGGAACCCGCGCGCCGACGAGGAGCGCGGCGTCATCATCAACTTTGCCTCGATCGCCGGCCACGAGCCCACCGGGCGCAACCTGGGCTACGGACCCACCAAGACGGCCGTGCTCGGCATGACCAAGAGCTTCTCCGACTTCCTTGGCCCCGCCGCCATCCGCGTCAACACCATCAGCCCCGGCATCGTCGCCAGCCCCATGAACACGACGGGCATCGAGTGGTTCAAGAAGAGCCTCGACGCCCACGCCGCCTTCCCGCGCCGCCCCGCCGGCTTCGACGAGGTGTGCAGCACCGTCCGCTTCATTTTCGAGAACGGCAGCCTCAATGCTGGTGAGTGCCGTCTTGCCTTCAACCGCCCCTGGTAGCTTTGCCTAGAAGCGTCGCCGTCCACTGACACCGATGCTGCCTGCCTGCCTGCCCTGCTTCTTGCTCGACCGCTCGCAGAGGACATCAAGGTCACCGGCGGCTGGCGTCTGGTCGCCGACTACGCCGAGGGCCGCGACCCCCGCGACACCTACCCCGGTGTCGAATAGAGCCAGCGCCTTCCCCCGCCCGCTCAGCCCAACATAGACAAGCCGCTCTCCTTTCCCGCCCCTCTCTTGTCCCGCCGTCCTTGTATCCCCTAGGGTCTAATCTTGTTGTTCTTTGGTCACCGTATCATCTCTGGAGTAACATCCAATCCAACACTTCTGGAGGTTCCCACGGCGCGGTCGTGGTCGTAGGTCGATGCGCGACTAGTCATATGTTCGAAGGGCCCCGGATGAGAGAGCTGGGGCGAGAGTGGTTGAGTCGAGCCGTGGATCCTCGCCCTGCAGCCACCGATGTCGACCCTGGAAAAGGAGGCAAGAATCAGAAGGCAAACCCGGACCTGGGGCCTCTCAGAGGGTAGATCCGCACCGCCATATGCATGTTTTCTTTGGCTGGTACGATCTGTATGGTCCGCCCACACCTTTCCGGAGACAGGCTCAGTCCAAGAACCACGGCCGTCGCGGGCGTGACTTTGCGATGTAGCCGCACTCGACCGGGTGGTGTGCAGCGAGTCATATCTCTGCTCGCTCTTGCTCAAGGGCCGGCCCTCTGCTTCCACGGCTGCAGGATGGGGGCGTGCTCGACGTCAAGCGAGCATCCGTGCTCTTCTCCGAGGAGCGCCTGACGAGCGCGAGTCACGCACGGAGAGGAAAAGCGAGCCGCACTCCGCTGGCCTGGGGCCGGGCCGGGCCGTGCCTGCATCCTCTTCCGAAGGCTCGGCGGCGTCGATCCCGAATCGCTCCCGAATTCCGGCAGGTGCTCCATTCAGGGCTCAAGGGCCTTCTAGGAGGGCGCCACGTCGGCCATGCGAAGCCGCCCTCTCCCACCACCTTGCCACTCCTGCCACGCTTCTCCATCACCTCGCTCGACAACCATGAGCGCAACCGCACCATGGGACCCCTTTGAAGACGTCTCGGACGAAAGCGACACGTCGCCTGATCCGCCGCTCTCGACCCCACTCACGCCCGAGGAGCGCTCCAAGCTGACGTTCCAGCAGCAGATCGAATGGGAGTACAATCAGGTCCGGCACCGCAGGGACAGGGATGCGTGCTACTTTGTCAAGCCGCCCGGCTTCCTCTTCTCGTGGCCCGACACTGGCACCTGGCGCGCCAAGCAGGTGGCCGTCCCCTTGCTATGGGAGGAGAGGTGCTCTCGCATCGACAAGCACCACCAGGCCTGGCTCTGCCAAGAGGACCTGCATGCCGAGGTCGAAAAGTGCCTCGGGGAACTCATCGTCCTGGGCTACGCCGACCTCGCAAAAGGTGAGCGACTCCGCTCTGTGCTCTTGCCGTCACTCGAGGGCTTGCGGCTCACATCACGCTCTGACCCTGGCATGCGCTTCGAACCGGCACACCACGTCCTTCAGGTTTAGCCGCGACGATGCAAGAGCGGCTGGAGCGATACAGACCCAGCGAGGCGTTCCAGCGCTTCTTTGCAGGGGGACCCATGACACAGCAAGACGACATCGACGAGCGACTCCGCGCCTGGCTGCCCGACCGGCCCACCATGGAAGAGCCGCTGGTGAGGCCACACCACCTACGCGCCACGTCGGCCTCGCTGCTGGCCGCGGAACAACCGTGGAAGAGCCAGGATGTCAACAACGCCAGTACACTCATACGCTGGCAGGAGTACATCCAGATCCTGGCCACGGTCGCCAAGCGCACGACGCCGACGCCCACCTGGCACGTCTACGCCACCAAAGAGGACGCAGAGAGCGCATCGCTCCCGCCCCGCGAGCACGAGGAGCTCGCGCTTGATCTACTCGGCAAGACGATCGACTGCCGCCTCGACGCATCGCTCCCCTCGGCTTGCATGAGGTCTTATGGCCGCTGGGAGGGACTCTGCGTAGGCATCTCGCTCGCGGCTCGACACGGGCGCAACAACCTCGTCGCAAAGGGGCTCGAGGCCCTCGTCTACCTCCCGACCAACCACAAGACGTGCGGGTGCTACACGGCAAGCAACTACCGCCGCTTGCTGGTCGATATCGTCGAGATGCTCGGTACCTGCACGGGCGTGTGGCGCGCCGTCCCTTCCGCCAACGAGAACGAGGGCTTCCTCGAGGTGAGTGTGCGGACAAGCCGCGAGGATCCTTGCCCGGCAGCCTTGAGCAGGGCAGCTCTGCGTCTGACCGGTGCTTCTGTACCTCTCTGTCGTGATGTCGCAGAGGCTGGCCTGGACCCGTTCTTCGATCGAGGATGGCATCCGGCGCTTCACGGAGGCCATCGATCGCCGCCTTGGTCGCATGCGCGACAAGGACTTGCCGACGCCAGAGGAGCCATACCGCGGCTTCACCGTCGACCAGCTCGTCGCAGAGCTCGAATCGCTGCGCCCCGACGTTGCCGCGGAACCGGACTCGACGGCGCAGGTTCTTGCTCGTCCGATCCCAGCACAGATCACGCAGCGGTACCTCTCGCTGCCCGCCGACCTGCTGAGATTCTACCAGCTTCGGCCGCAAGGGCTACCTACGACCAAGTGCGACCTGCTGAACCCGTACAGTGCGAGTGGGTACCGAGGGTACTGCGAGGATCCAGCGACGTACGTCGAGATCCTCCCGGGCGACCGCCTGCTCGACGAGCGGCTGGTCAACCACCAGAACGTCGACCAGGGCGTCCAGTGGCTCTGGACGCGCATCGACCTGGCCATGAGGGACGCCGGCATCCTCTTCACCCACGGGCAAGAGGACGACATGTACGACGACGACAGGTACTCGCTCTACGCCTACCTCATGCCGCCCGCGCTCTACTCGTACATGCGTCGCCTCAACGGTCTTTCCCCGCCCAAAGAGGACGAATGGGTCGTGTTCGAAGACTTTACCATCTTCCTTGGCTTCACGGAGTGGTTGAGGTACGTCACCACCAAGATCAGGAGGCTCGTCGAGGCGGATAGCGCCGGGGGCCGCGACGACGCCGCAGCGACGGCGACAGAGGATGCGCAGAGCGGGTAGCAGTTTGTTCAATACCAAAACTCATCGTCTGCACCGGATGATGGACTTGATGGCGCCGACGAGCTGCCCATGCAGCGAAAAAGATGCGCGCGCATCCCCTTGGGAAAGCACCAGCTGTGACTGTACCCTTTCTTCCGCCGCCGTGTTCCGAGTGTAGAGCCGTGCGTGCGCACCAGGAGCGTCCGCCCTGTCAGCGAGTCACTGTCGTTTTCGCATGAAGACCAAGTCGAGTCTTTCGAGCTGACTCGCAAGGCCATGTGCTTTGATGTCGAGACGGCACCCCCTGCCTCGACAAGGGAGCGAGTCACGGACCGGCGGGAAGCGATGCTCGTGGGCGAGCGTACGTCGTCGATCCTTCTTTTCGCGAAGCGTTTTCGGGCCGCCTCGCTGCCGTGCCTGCATGTGGACAAAAGGCTTGGCGGCATGCAGATCCCGACGCTGCCGCCCGACTTCCGACCGCCGGCCGCTGAGGCAGGCTCAGCATCACTCACTCTCCTCCGCTTCGACAGCTGCGGGAAACGCTCAAGGTTCTCGTTGCCCAAGTTCAAGTGCATAGCAACGTCTTTGTCACCCTTGACCACATCGGGTTGTGATGGGATAAGAGGCGGGGCTCTCATCGCTCGTCAATTGGTGTCAGCCCATCACCGAGTTCTCATCCCCTCCCCTTCTCGAGCTGCACATCGCGCATCTCGCTCCCATCTAGGACCATGCTCTTTGATGATGAAGATTGGACAGGCTCCGAAGAGATCGAACCGTACCCGACCGGACCGACGCCCGAACAACGCTGCGGCTTGACATTTCAGCAGCAGATCGAGCTCGAGTATAGCCTCGTCCGCGATCGCAAGGATGGCAGCGCGGGTTCGCGCATCAGACCCGACGGCTTCCTCTTCGCCTGGCCACTCTATCGCACTTTCCGCGACGAGTGTGTCGCGCCGCCGCCAATCTGGGGCAAGCGATGCTCGCGCCTCGACGAGTTCGATCAGGCCTGGATCCGAGAAGAGGACCTCCACGATCAGGTCGACAAATGCCTCGGCGAGCTCATCGTCCTCGGATTTCCGGACATAGCAAAGAGTGAGTGCCCAGCCGCGCGTGCGAATGGCTGCAGAGAGGCGAACAACGCACAGCTCAATGTCGCTGCCCTCCTTTCTCGCCCCTCGAATAGGCATGGTCGGACTGATGCAGGAGCGCCTCCAGCGGTACGAGCCAAGCGGTGCAATGCAGCGATACTTTGCCGGCGTATCGATGTCGCATCAGGACGACCTCGACGAGCGGGACAAGGTCTGGACGCCCGACCTGCCCACAACCGAGGAGCCTGTCGTGAATCCGAACCACCTGCGCCGCCTATTGCGCGCAGACGTCCTCTCGGGAAAGCCATGGAGATCCCGGCTAGAAGTCGACCTTTACAAGTTCCGCAACTTCCAAGACTGGATCCAGGGCCTGGTCGCTGTGGGGAAGCTCTGCAACAGGAAGGACAGCGCCTACCTCACCATAGCCGAAGCGGAAGACGTGCTGCTTCCCCCTCGCGAGTTCGAGGAGTTGGCGCTCTCCGTGCTGGGCGAGGTGATCGACTGCCAGCTCAGCGAAAAGGCGACGGCTGCCTGCATGTCCTACGTCGGGCCCTGCGAGGGACTCTGCGTCGGCATTTCGCTCGCGGCTCGGCACGGGCGACAGGACCTGGTCTTGGACGGACTCAAGACTCTGCAAAACCTCCCATTGAACCACAGGCCACGGTGCGCGTGCTACACGGTCAAGAGGTTCCGTTGTGTGCTGATTGAGTCCATCGAGCTACTCGGCGGCTGCACCGGCGCATGGCGAGCCTTGCCCCTGGCCGAGGAAGGCCAGGGATTCTTGGAAGTGAGTTGATCCAGAAGCGACGACCAGGGTTGAGGGGTTCCACCAGTCTCGCTGAACGACACCCACCGTCCTGCCCGACTCTGCGCCGCAGAAGCTCGGCTGGACTCGTTCGTCGGTCGAAGAGGGTGTGCAGCGCTTCAAGGAATCGATCGACCGTCGACTCGAACGCATGCGCAACAGAGATGTGCCCACAGACAAGGAACCCTACCGCGGTTTCTCGGTGGACCAGCTCATCGCAGAGCTTGAGCGCCTCTGTCCGGACGTCGCCACCGAGACCGCCGCCTCACCTGAAAGCGCGCCCGAGATCCCGCAAGCAGTCGCAGAAAGCTATCCGATGCTGCCAGCCGACTTCTTACGCTTTTACGCCTTGAGACCACACGGCCTGCCCGCGATTCTTTACGAGGAAGCACAACCAGCCACGTACATCGCAGAGCGTTTGGTATCGTGGGCAGTGGAAGCGGCCTATATCGGGGTGCTGCCGTTCGAGGGCGTCGTGATAGACCGGTTGTCAGAACACCACGCCATGTGCCAGGGCATCCCGTGGCTCTGGGGCTGCGTCTATACGCACGGCGTGGAAGATGTCGTCCGCTTCACCCGCGACAAGACGATCGGCAAGTGGTTCATGCACGCCTTCTTGCTCCCGCCCAGCTTCTACGCGTCCATGCGGCGCACCAATGGCCTTGCACCCGCTGATCCGGACGACTGGGTCGTGTTTGAGGACTTCAAAATCTTCTTGGGATTCACCGAGTGGCTTCAGCACATGGTCACCAAGGTCAGAAGGATTGCAAAGGCGAATAGCGCCAGCGGCCATGGCGACGAGGCGGCAGCACCGGTTCTTTGATACAGCATGGGTTCGCGACTTGGACGCATGCAAAGGCGAATCTGATGGCGCCGGCGACCTGGCCAGACAGCCTGCGGGGAAGGGCGCATCTATCTGCCTAGCTCCTGAAGACTTGCAAAGCCAGGGCGATTCAAGAACATCTTGCTCTGAGTCACTGCCGTTTGCACATTCATTCGACCGGTCTGTCAACTCTCACGGGCCAAATCCCGAGGTCGTCATACATGAGCCGCCCGCCGGCTGGTCGACTGCCGCCCATCTATCGTGTCGGCGTGGCCCGTCCCGAGTTGCAACGCTCGACGAGTCACAGAACAGCGCGGCGCTTGAAGCGACCCGTACGTGAGCGTGTGCGGCTGTAGCACCTCGTGAATCTTCCTTCGTCACTGCGCCTCGGGTTCGGCCGGCCTGCCGAGGTGGCCGGCGGGACCTTGGCTTGCGCCCGGTTGCAGAAGCCCCCTGTCGTCTTCGTATAATGCCAGGATACGCATCTGCATGAGCCTCGTTTTGAGCGCTGTGCTGAACCCCTCGCTTCTGATGAGGCCGATCGGAGGATCGATGATCTGGACGAGGCCAATGTATACCCTGGGCAGCATTGTTCCCTCGTAGGGCAGGGCGACGGCGTCAAACTGTAGCATGGGGCCCTCTTTTGGTTGCGACAAGACATAGCCGAAGCTGATCGTGTATCGGCCAGGGACGTCGATGTTGGCGAACAGGCCGGTCTTGACTCCCTTGTTCTTGCGGATGAGAAGATTGGACGCCGCCTTTTGGATCGTGGTGCGGCCTCTCCGTTCGTAAGGACTGCCGGGCGCGTGGATGGCAATGCTGGGTCGACGAGGTGCGCCGCTCAACGGCCGAAAGTCCCTGGCCCGCGTGTTCAGCTCGTCAAGAGCAAGGACTTGCAGCTCCGCATCGCCGTAATGGATGGGTCTCCCGTTTCCAGCGACCTGTCTCGGTACAGACGAGATCGGCCAGTCCTCTTGCGCCTCCCTGCTCGACTTCCGGACTTTGTGGATCCGTGCCGGCGCCTGGAACAGCGGACGCGCATCTCGGTCGGCCTCCTCAAGAACGGAAGAGGCCGGCCGTGAAGGGTACTCAGGGTGCCTCGGCCCGTCGAACTGGCCCTTCCTTGTCGAAGTGGGTGAGTCGAGCTCGATAGGCGCTGCAGTGCCGGCGCCGTGAAGCTGATCGTCGGGAACATCGTTTTCGATGACCTCTACGTCGCTTGCAGGCTGCGTTGCGAACGATTGATGGGGCGACGGGACATCCGGATGGCCCGCATCGTGCAGCGAGATGCCAAATGGCGCATCGTCTATCCACGCGAGGTGGCGATACACATCTTCCAGCGCCTCGACATCTTGCGGCAGATCAAGAACTGGTCGTGCCACGGCGATCGCCTGACGTGCGGGGACAAGCGTCGCCAGAATGATGGCCAGCACGATCGTCGAAGCGAAACGGCAAAGCTCCATGATGTGTCTTGTGTGAGGGAGGGGAACTTGGTCGAGATCTGGTGGGAGAGTAAGGTTTGGTGAGAAGAGGGTGTAGGGACAGATCGATGGCAAGAGGGGACATCTACATAACGTCCTTCGCCTCTCTGATCTCGGCCGCGAAAGGGGGGCAAAGAGAGTTGACAATGGCTCCCGACCCACCTTCGGGAGGAGATCCGGGTGGCGTTCTACTATCAGCAGCAAGCTAGTGCAAGCCGCACAACGCCCCGAGCTGTGCGTCTGCCCCGACCTTGGCCGCCACATATGAACATGCCTGCAAGACCATCAAGGAGGGACAGCCAAACTTGCACGATTGGATGGCTTCGCTGCCGCGAAGCCGTCGATGACCGGTCGAGCTGACAGCATCCTGGGAAAAACTAAGGCAGTGCTTCAGTCTGACTTCCAGCGGCCCTTCGAGCTCGACATGTACCTAGGAGCAACTGGCCTACAGCGCAGGACGGGCAAACATGGTCATGCAGTCCGGGCGACCTTTCTGCGACGGCCAGGACGGCCACGGCGTGCATCCGAACGGGTCAAAACACCGGCGCCCTCTTCGAGCGCCATATTCTTGCGTTCCAGCGCCTGCAGCCTGCTAATGAGGGTCGGATGGAAGCCCACGGTCTCGATTTGCGGAGGAGGATTCTGGATCTCCAGGATGCCGATGTACGTCTTGCCCATGCCGGATCCTCTGTAGGGAAAGGCGACGGTGTCGAACAGGAAGGAAGGGCTGTCTCGCTCCTGGCCAAAGATGTACGAGAAGCTGATCCGGCATCTGCCAGGGATGATGATGTCTTCCAGCAGGCGCGACTTGGCGCGGCGCTGGGCCTGGAAGATGAAGATGTTGTGGGCCGCCATCTTGACTCTTTCCGATGGGCGTTTGCCAGCTGGGATCTGATGCATGCGGACGACCGGCTCGCGACGGGATCCTCCTGGGGGCGTCAGCTCCCTCACGCGCTCCTCGATATCCCTGACGACGATAGCAGCCAGCTCGTCGCTGCCAAACGCGAGCCCGGATCCTCTCGGGATGTCGAGTTCTTCCACCGCCGTCCTTTGTGTCGCAGGTTCGGAGACGCCAGTGCTAGCTTCGCCATGGGTCGGTGGCCTACTCGCAGCGTCTGTGTGACTGGAAGCTGCAACAGGTTCTTGCGGCGATGCAGTACCTGCCGAGCCCGGCTCGTCGATGGATCCGAAGTCTGGACGTCTCTGAGTGACGGCGTGCAGCGGCTCCTGTTGCACCGCAGGTTCGGCTTCGTCCCGCAACATGGCGGGTGTGGCATATTCGAGCCACTCGAGACGCTGGTGGAGCAGATCCAAGCCTTCGAAGGTCTGTGGCAGGTCATCCAGGAGTCCCGACCCAGTGCCCGTCGCCGCTTCGAGGAGGACAGTCACAACCATGAGGAACAAGATGAGCACCGATACTGGACTGGGTTTGGGGTGGCGCATCGTGCTTGGTCCGCCTTTCAACGTCGCTGACTGTGGTGCGGAGGGGGGCATCGTTCTTGTCGATGCGAGTTGATGAGGAGCGAGGTTGTGGAGTGGAAGACAGCCTCTGCCTGAGTGACTACGTTCATCCCAGCCTGACCCGGCAATCAAGGCAGTGCAAGTCGCAAGAGGTGCGACCAGCAGGCAGCGACTTGGTGGCCCTCCGAGCTGGGCGTCTGGCCGCACCGTGTCCGCCACACCTCATCCAGCACCGGATAGATCGGAAAGCGGCTCCAGGCCAGCCTTGTGTACCCTCGCCCGGATCTGGTCTTCCTTGCACGGCAACCACGCATGGTATTCAAGGCGCAATTGAGCCCAGAAACACCTAACAACGGGGCGGCTGGGACGGAAACGGAGCCGCCCACTATAGCCTTAAGCGGAAGTGTTCCTCCTCTATGGGTCAAGGCCACTGTGCAAGTCATCCGCAGGGCCGATCGGGCCGCCCGGCCGGGCCGAGGAAGCTGAAACCCTCTCGAGTTCGAACCTCTTACCCGTCAGCGCCTGCAGTCGACCAGCGAGGACAGGGCTGAAGTGATCAGTGACAATGCTGAACTCCGGTGGCTCTCGAATCTCGAGAATGCCCAGGTACGTCCTTTCCAGGCCAGAGTCTTTGTAGGGGAAGGCAGCTGCGTCGAAGAGGAAGGTGACACCGTTTCTCGGCTGGTCGACGATGTACGAGAAGCTGACTCGACACCTGCCCGGGACGTCAATGTCTGTCAACAAGCCAGACTTGTCGAGAGGAACCGCCTGATTCTTGAAGAGGTTGCCGGCCGCTTTGCGTACCCTGACCCACCTGTCCGTGCCGCGCAGGGTCGAAGGCTGGTGGATCCGAATGATGGTCTCGCGATCGAGCCGAACTGAAGGTGGTAGGTCTCTGACCCGCCTCTGCAGCGCCTCGACGACGAAATCGGACAGCTCCGCATTGCCGTAGGTGATCTTCTTTCTCTTGAGGCCGGCTTGGGCGTGGTAGAGCTCCGTCATCTGCTTGCCAGCTCGCGACTGCCTGAGTTTGCTCCCGCCGCGTGCTCTGCCTCGTGGCAGAGATAGCGGCGATCCTTCCACGAGCAGCGGCTCGATGGACGTCGATCCCTCGTCGTATCGGGCGGACAGCTCGGCACGGTGGTCATGGCTTTGCACGGCAAGATTGTCGTGACTTTGCGGGATAGAAGAAGCAGCTCCTGCCGCAAGAGACCCAGACGGGTTACCAGGGAATGCGTCGTGCACATGAGGATCATGCGACGCCTGCTCCTTGCCGGCAGCATGCTCTGCTTGCAACATCGCGGGCGTGGCATGGTCGATGTATCCGAGGCTCTCGTAGAGCCTGCCCAGGCCGTCGGGCGACTGAGGTAGGTCGTCGAGTAGCCTTGGGCCTGGCGCGGCGAGTTCAGCCCCCTGCAGCAGCGATCCAGCATCCTCGATGTGGGTGAGCCGGTGGTACAGCTCGCTCGAGCCCTCGAGGGTTGGGTGCAGATCATCGAGAAGTCCATTCCCAGCGCCCACAACCGATGGCTCGAGGACGGCAACTAGAGTCGCCACAAGAATCGTCGACGCCATGGTCGAGCCCATTCGGAAGAGGTGCATCTTGCGTCGCTCTTGTCGATAAGGTCGTCGGTGTCCGTACAAAGGGCTCGGCATGTGAGCAGGAAAGCGAGGTCGTGAGATGAGGCCGCTTCGGCCTTTCTTCTTGGCGAGTGAGATTTCATCGAGAGGCTCCCTCCCTGCTTTATGTACGTACGTAGCTGGCCGTTCGAGAGATGCCCCACCGGCGATAAGCAAGGCTGTAGCGCCCCGGGCTACCTCCGGCTGCCAGATTTGCTCTCGCCGCACACGATAAGAGATGAGCTTCCGAACCCTCGCCCCGAACGCCTACGGGCGTCGAAAGAACCTTCCGGACCGAGCAGGAGCGGGACGGAGCCAGTCAGAAAAATGAAGGGAGGGAAGGAGAGCGGGAGGGACGGGCGGACGGCCAATGCATGATGTTAAAACGACGAGAGGTGAGAGAGTCACAACAGGCAGCGTGCGTGAGTGCGGCCGACGAACGACTCTCGTAGAAGCTCGGCATGTCGCGCTGCCCACATCACGGCAGGCCGAAGCCGGTGAGCTTGCCCGGCTGCCTTGTCTGACCTGCGCCGTGATCTGTTCCAGCCGGTGCTGATGCTGCTGCAGTCTGTCCCGGATGCATGGCTTCACTCTCCTGGTTCAACGCCTGCTGTGCCTGTCGAATCCGCGTGTTAAGGTTCTTGGAGAACCCCTCGGGACGCAGGAGATGCGGCGGCGCCTGGACATAGACCTTGCCCAAGTAGGTCCGCATGATTGAGGGGGCCCGGGTTGGGTCCTTGAAGTCCTTGACGGGCACGGCAATGGCGTAAAACACAAACGTGCTGGAGTCTGGCACGGTGGTCTTGGCAGCATGCGAAAAGACGACGCGGTAGTCGTCGGTCATGATGTCTTCCATCAGGCCGAGCTTCGGCTTCTTCTGATGGTCAACAGCGCTGAAGAGGGCCAAGATCAACGTCTGTTTGGGCCTCGAGAGGCTCGCTTTGCGTGGAGCCGGGTCGATCCAGACCTTTGGCTGCTCCGGGGCACCATGCAGCCCGACTGCGTCGATGATCCGCCTCTTCAGAGCGCGCACGGTGAGTTCGGCCAGCTCGCCGTCACGGTAGCGGATGCCCTGACGGATCGGACCGTTGTTGATGCGGTCGATGTCTGTCTCGAGGTGCTGCGTGCCGCTGTCAGTGGCAGCAGGAACGAGACGAATCTTACGAGCACGCCTCTTGGGAGCTTTAGGAGCTGCTTGAATGAGCGGTGCTGCACCTTGCGACGAAGAGCCCGTACTCGGTGCTGTTCGGCCAGGACGCTCCTTGGAGCTCGCAACCGGCTCGGGCGGTTCGTTGAGCCTCTCCGGGCTAAGTGGCGGCAGCGGATGAAAAGGCTCAAGGTCGTCGAAGGTGTCGTCGTGGTGTGGCAGGCGCGGTTGCGGCGTTGGATGTTCCGTTCGAAAGCTGCGCAACAGCTCGGCGTTGGGTTCGCGGCCGCCGACGAACACTGGACCGTGCCAGAGCTGCGCCACTTCATCGACGTTCAGGGGCAGGTGAAGCTGGCCCGGTTCGACTCCCACGACAGCCCCGAGGGTAGCGAGAAGAGCCGCAAATGGGAGATGTGCGCGAGTTGAACTCTGCCAGACGAATCTCATCTGCGGTGCGGTACCTGCGGAGGGCTCATGAGATGTGAGAGAACAGAGGGTCAGGGCGATGGACCAGGCCACCGTGTCTTCCACCTTTATACTCCTCCATGTTGGCCAGATGAGCGGACGGACGAGCGCTCCCAGAGCGCCGAGCTGATGACGGCCCCCCGAGGTACTTTTATGAAGTCACCGACTTGCTCTCAGCCGGGGTCAGCAATGCGTGGCAAGAGCTTGAGCGTCGGAGCGAATCTGCCCGTCTCATCTCGAGCGTGGGCCGAGGGATGGCCGAAAGAGCCGTTCCGAGGGACAAGAAAGGTGCCGGACGGGGCTGAAGGCAGCAGTCTGCATCTTCATGGATCGTGCGGCATGCTCATCGGATCACTCAAGTTGTCGTAGTCGCCGGCACGAGCCGTCGCCCTCGGAAGCTGGCGCCGTCGCCCTCGGAAGCTTGCGCCGGCGCCCTCGTGGTCAAGTGATGCGAGGTTCTGTGAGGCGGTCGAGGGGAAGGAAGTGTATGTGCGTTGCAGGGCGAAATCCTCCCTGTGGCTAAACAAGAATGATCGAGATGGTGGTCGGAAGGTCCGATGGCCTGACGGGCACGCCGGTGCTTCCTGCTTTTCGGCGCTGGACCCTGGGCCTGTTTTCCCCCACCGCACCGGCAAAGGCTGCCTCGGTTGGGCCGGTCAAGTCGGCCCATCGGTGGCCTCCTTGGCCCGACCACCTCTGCCCTCGCCCAGCCTCTCTCCCGCACACCACCTCCAAACCGTCGCAGCGGCACCCGGCAGTCCCGCACCTGGCGATGCTCAAGACCATCTATACCTGCCGACATGGCTTCCGCATGAACTGGCAGGGCGCCGAACTCTTCCTCCCCACGGGCCGGCCGCGCGATCCCGTCCTGACCGCCCACGGCCTCAATCAGGCTCGCGACCTGGCGCGCTACATCGCATCGCTACCGCACGAAGAGCAGCCACAGCTCATCATCAGCTCGCCGTACTACCGCTGCCTACAGACGGCGCAGCCTACCGCCAAGCTGCTCGGTCTCGAGCTGGTCGCCGAACCGGGCCTCGCCGAGTGGTTCCCTCCGGCGCCCTTGTCGACCGGAGTCCACCCGGTCCCGGCCAGGGCGGCCACGATGAAGGAGTTTGTGCCAACGCTCTCGCTCAGCTGGTCGCCGCTCCTCTATCCGCCCGTCGAGGGCGAGACGATACCGCAGCTCCATGCTCGCGCCCGGAGGATCCTCGAGCTGATCCAGCAGCGGTGCGCGGAGCTCGGCGTGGAACGGGTCCTCCTCTGCAGCCATGCCGCGACGCTCATCGCCATGGGCAGGGTCCTCCTTGATGACGATGGGGACGGCCAGCGGACCGTCGACATCAACGTTGGCACCGCCACGCTCAGCAAGTACGTGCGCACCGCCAGCGACGCCAGCACTTGGAGGCAGGAGCTCAACGGCGACGGCAGCTTCCTCCCGCACGGCCCCGAGAGGAACTGGGAATTTGCACACGTCCCTGACAATGTCACAGAGCCGGGGATGGGCGCGGGCTGGATCGACCAGGAGCTGCCAGCGTCGGCATCCACCGAGCGAGGCCGAGACCCCCCTCCGGATCGGCCCAGCAAGCTGTGAGCGGGCGGCTCGGGCCGGTATCCGATTGCATTTGGATCATACGATGTACTTTTAGCTAGACGGCGACCCCCGCAGAGGCACACATGCATGGACGACGTCTCCGAGGTTGCCCCTCGCCGCAGCTGAGCGTGTGAGGTCGGGATGTCGAGCGAGGAAGTCTCCTGTCATGGCCATAGGCCTGCTGGCGCGGAGGGATCCGCCTTTCACGCTGAGCGCTCGCTGGCCGCTGGTTGGCCTGGCCTGGCGGCGGCCCCTCCACACCGAATTTAGAGCGCGGCTGGCAAGCCAGCGAGGCTTGACAAAGCGTGGCGAGCTAAAGCTGCGTGCGGCTCCCCAGCAGCTCGAGGGCCGGGAGCTGCCCCACCCTAGCCTGGATCCGCCGACCCCCACCCTCTCCCGGCCCTGCACGCTGCCTTCCGCTCGTCTCCACCACATCGGACCCCAACTTTTTTGCAGCCCAACCCCAGTCTGCCTACATATCGCCATCTCGACGGACCTCATCATCACGGTACCCTCGAAGCGCCCTCTGCCCGGATGATCCGCCTGTCACCGCCATGCCCCTCACCATAGCAGGCATCAACCCTAGCTCGTCGACCATCGACCACTTCCGGCGGCAGATCTACCGCCCACGGCTCTGCCTGCTGCTGCTCTTGCTCCTTCTGAGCCCGCACAATGCACCGCTCGACACCGACTCGACCGCTGTAAGCTCGGACGGCCCGCCCTCTGGCGCTGCGACCGGCGGCCAGTCGAGCTCGAGCACCGAGTGGACCGTCTCAATCATCGACGGCCTCGTAGTCGCCGCACCCATTCGCCCCGCCAGCAACCCCCTCTCCCTGCATGCTCCGCCGTCGACACCGCCGCAGCTCGCCCCCTTTGCCGCGCTCTCTTCTCCACCCAGCAACGGCAGTCCCGCTCCCTCGACGGCCACCGCCCCGTCGCAGCCCACGCCCGCGAGCGCCTCCAGCGCCGAGCATCGCTCCGCCGCCTCGTCCCATGACGCCCAGCCCGCGCCGGGCTCTCTTTTCAAGCTGCCAAAGCCCAGCTGGGGCCTTCTCATCGACAGCCATGTCCTGCCCGCCGTGTTCACGCTCCACGCCCTGTGGGGCATCCGCTTCGTCGGCATGGCCATCGAGGACGGCGTGGTGAAAAGCTCCCTGATCGGCTCAAGGTCCCGCTTCCACGCCTTCACCTTGCCCCTGATCCAGCTTTCTGTCCTGGCCGTCCTTGCCCTCTCGATTGGCACGCCTCCCTTCATCGACGCCGTGGCATTCCGGTGCAGTGCCAAGCGGGCCTCCCTTGGCCTCGAAACCGTTCCCCTCGGCTCCGCCCGACGTCAACAGACGCTCCTGCCCATCAAGCTGCTCGTGGCCCTCGAGCTGGCAGCAGTCTTGCTTTCTCTCGTCTCTACGCTGTTCAAGATCGACGACGCCGCTCTCGATTTCCTGCCAAAGGTCGTTCGTCTGCCCTCGCCCTCGCACTCGCCCAGCATCATCGAGCTGCTCCCGCTGCCTCCAGGCCTCGCAGCGGCACTGTCTGGAGCGCCGGCGTCCTCGCGGTCCGTTGCGGCGGGCATCAACAGGCGCCCCGGACGGCGGCCTCTGATTGCCAGGGCCATCCAGACCGGCAGCGAGCAGGCCGTAGCGAGCGAGGGCATGCGGAGAAGGCCGGAGACCGCTGCGAGCGTAGGCGAAATGGCGGCGGCACCGAACGCCGATGCCCCACCCACGCAAGCAACCGATGACTCCTCGCCGCGACAGCAGATTTACCGCCAGGTGGGCACCGATGGTCGAGAGGTGCTGCGCTCCACGAGCGTCACGCAGCCCATCGCTCCTCTGAGCCTGTTTGCCGACGATCCGGCACCCGACGTCAGCTCTGCCGGCGAAGGCGATGCTGATCCACGGACCAGACCAGCCACCTCCCCCTCTGCGACCTCGACGCCTCGACGCCGGGTCAAGGCGCCGCGCCTGCAGCACCAGCGCGTGCTGGTAACGACGCGCTGGCTCTCGGATACGGTCGTCTCGCTGTTTGACAAGGTGGTCGGTTCGCTGCTCTACGCCATCGTCACGCTGCGGCTGCCCACGCTCTCGCCCACCAGCCTTCCGCCGGTCCTCTCACTCCTCAGCCTCCGATCCGAGCTCTCGTCGCTCACATCGATCTGGTCCAAGGCCAGGGCGAGCGTCGAATGCCTGGAATTCGTACGGCGGCGATGGGGCGTCGAGCTGACCGATCGGCCCGACACGGATCCCTACGGCGACGAGGCGGCATCGTCGGCGGGGGGAGGGGGAGGCAAGTGGGGCAAGAGGTACAAGTGGATGTCGACCGACGAGGTGACGTGCAGCATCTGCTTTGAACTGACCCGACCGGAGTTTGCCCGGCCGCGCTCGGGGGCCGGCGACGAAGCGGGCCGCAAGTGGCCATTCTGCCGGCTCGACTGCGGCCACGAGTTGCACGACACCTGCCTCGTCGCCTGGCTGACCAACCAGGCCTTTTGCCCGACGTGCCACTGCGTCCTGTCCTTTAGCCCGCCGCCGCCGCCGTCTCCGACCAGTGCTCGCCGCGCTCAGGCATCGCCGACGTCCCCGCCGCGCGCCGCGCGGGGAAGCGAGGGGAGGGCATGACGGCGGACGGCCACGGCCGCCACTTGCACCAATCATCGTATCGCTATCATCTGTGTTGCACGGCATGCCCCTTCTCTGGCAGAACCACGGCCACAGCGCTACAATCTTTCGCCCGTCGCAGCCGCGGCCTTTGACGCCTGCTGCTCCTCACCGCCGGCGCCCTGCTGCTCCGTGCCGCTCTCGCCCTGATCGGGGATGAGGTCCCAGACGATGTCCATGACCTGGGCGTACTGCGACTCGTTCTTGGGGATGGGCACCACGCCCGCCTCGGCCTCGGTGGCGGCTCGGGGCTGCCCCTTTGCGAATTCGGGCAACGACCTGGGCCGGACCCTCTTCCTGCGCCCCGCCTGCGGGTTGTCGACCGAGAGGGCATGGAGGTGCAGGAAGAGGCCGCGCGCTGCGGCGGGGAAGAGGTGCTCCGGGTAGGCCGAGTAGAGCGTCGAGACAAGCGACGTGATCGTCCATCCCCGCTCGGCCTCGGTTTGGGCCGAGGGCGGCGGTGCCGTAGAGAGGAGCGAGAGGATCTGGCGCTCTCGCTCGAGGCGGTGGGAGAGGTACGTCCTCAGCGTCGCCCTGCCCGCCGCGACGACGGGGCCGTGGGCCGGGTAGATGACGTTTTCGTCGTCGCCGGTGTCGTTGCTGCCGTCGCTGCGGCCGTCTTTGCCGTCGACGGAGGACGAGGGGCCGATCTCGGCGAAAAGGTCGATGCAGCGCGACAGACTGGCGAGGTAGGCGTTGAGGTCCTCGAAGACGGTGGTGCCGGAGCCGAGGACGTGGTCGCCGGAGAAGAGGTTGCGCTCCTCGCGCAGCAGCAGGCAGATGTGGTCGGCGGTGTGCCCGGGCGTATGCACGACCTGGAGCGACGTTGCGCCTGCCTCGTCGCCGTCGGCGCATGCGATGATGTCGCCGTCCTTGAGCGGCCACAGGGGCGAGGGGCCGTCAAAGGCAGAGTAGGACGTGAACGAGCCCGAGGGCAGGGCGTGCAGGCTCTCGATCAGCGACGGGTCCGATTCGGTGTCGGGCAACTTGTGGATGCGGGGCGGCGCGAGCGGCGTCGAAGTCGCTGCCGTCGTTGCAGATGCGGCTTGGGACTCGGAGCGAAGGCGCGAGAGGAGCGAGAGGACAGAGGGAAGGCCCTTTGTGTGGTCGCCGTGGCGGTGCGTCAAGATGCTGTCCGATGGCGGCAGCGGCCGAGAGGAGCGTGTCAGACCGCAGTGCCAGTCGGTCGCGACGACGGGGAACGTCATCCGGGCCGGGCCAGGCCAACTCACATATCGCTGACCCAAGTCGTCACACCCTCGTCCCCAATCGCCGCCATGGTCGACGCATCGGCGCCCTCATCACCACCACCACCACCGCGCAGCGCACGTTCGAGGAGCGGGATATAGCCCTCGACACCTTCGCCCGTATCGATGAGGATCCCGCGCCGCGCCGCCGTCGTCGGCAAGGACGACGAAGACGGCGACGAAGACGACGGCGCAGAGACGAGGTACGTGTTGGTCCCGTTGAGGGTGTACGGACCCGGGTTCTGCGCCAGGATGCGCACCACCCGGCTCGACAGCCGCGCCAGGTCGCTCACGGGTTTCAGCTCGGCCATGTTGGGCAGTGGTTCTGCTCGTCGTCGTCGATGTCGTGGAACAGATCAGACCGAGGCTGCGGTAGACGGCAAGGATATCGACGGTCGGGGCGGGTGGTTGTCGGAACGAAGAGACGACCCTCGAGCGACGGCATCGTTGTGGGGCCTCGGCGCGCGCTCAGCTGGCCCCGGTCGGCTATCCGGCCTCTTGCCGCTACCCGGCGCACAGACCGGTCAGGCCAGGCAAGCGGCGCGCCACGACTCTAGCCCGTCATCTGCCAAAATGACGCCCGCAGTTAAGAATCGCACAGAAACATACAGCGAGCTCTCTCGATAGAAAAAAGGAGGGGAAAAAGAGTTGGAAAAAAGAGAAAAAAGAAAAAGGAGGGTCCAACCCGGAATCGAACCGGGGACCTCTGTCATACAGCTCACGGTTCGATTCCGTGTTTAAGCCCTAAGACAGCATAATAAGCCACTATACGATTGGACCCGCTGATGTATGGACTCGAAAATGTTAATACATATAAAAATCAAAAACACGAGGGGAGTCAAAACTGGGAAAAAGAACACGACTCGACACGGTCCGCCGGGCTTTCGGATGGCGGAGCTATCTCCTGATGGAAGGGGCAAAAAGAGTTGATCAGCCTGGGGCTTGAACCCAGAATCTGGATCCTAGTTAAAACCCGCCCTCCTCCCTGGCTCCCAAAAGCCTTCCCCCCGTCACGAATGCGGAGAAAGCGCAGGAGAAAAAAGTGATGACCAGCCTGGGGCTCGAACCCAGAATCTCCTGATTGCGAATGCAAGGAGCACAAGGCGTGTGTGCTATGGTCGTAGTCAGACGCCTTACCAATTGGGCCAACCGGCCTATCGATGTGAAGGGCGCGAAAGTGCATCTACATAACCCTACATAGGGCAATTCCGAAATTCGTGATAAAGGTCTTAGGCGGCGCGGTTCGTCTGCGAGCTTTCCCGGCGTCTTCTGTCCCAAGCCGCCTGCCTGGCCTCTACGACATGAAGGCGGGCGTTTGGCTAGCCGATCGGTGCTAGAAGAGACGGCACGGAGCGGCGCAGCGCATGGAAGCGGGAGGGTACGGCCGTGGGAGGGCGGACACGCAGACACACGGGCGAGCGGCAGAGATGACGTGATTCCATAAAAGTACACGGGTGCGGTTGCGAAGGGCAAGGTATACGGGCTCGTAGCAGCGAAGCGGCCTGGCAATGCCTGTCTAGGGAGAGCGTGTAGAAGATCGGTTGGAAAGGTGGCGTTGGGAGGCGCGGCGTGCAGACGGGAGGCGGGCCATCGACGGTACCTCCTGCATCTCCTCCTGGCCGCCACCGCCGCCGCCGCCGCCGCGGGTCGAGTGCGCCGAGGGAGGTTCACATCTTGCCGGCCATGAGGAGGCGGTTGCGCTCGTTGATCTCGTCCATCATGCGCATGCTCTTTTCCACCTCGGCGCGCTCCTTGGCCGCCTGGAGGGCGCGGTTGCTCTCGTTGAGCTCCTCGAGCAGCCGGCTGTTCATCTCGGCGTCGCGGAGGCGCTCCTCGTCCATCTGCCTCTCGCGCAGCCGCAGCGCGGCCTCCTGCTCCCGGATCCTCTCCGACTGCTTCTGATAGGTCTGGGCGACGACGAGCTCGCGCTCCAGGTTGCGGATCTTGAGCATCAGCGCCGACGTGTCCATGCCCAGCGTGATGGTGCGCGGGCCTTGCTTGCCCGCTGCGGCCGCCGCCGAGGCCGTGGGCAGCGAGACGTTCGAGTGCGCGGGAGAGACATGCTCGAGGGGCGGCTCGGGCGACCTGCCGCCCGTGCGCGTCTCGAGCGTCGAGGCAAAGGGGGGCAGCGAGAGCTTGACGGGCGAGCGGGCGGGCGACGGCGACGGCAGCGGCGACGAGGATCCGGCGGATCGCGTCGGCGAGACGAGGTGCATGCCCTCGAGCATCAGGCCGGGCGATGGCAGCGCGAGGCTCGCCTCGTTGGCACCGCGCTTGGCGTTGGTGGTGTTTGCGGCGGCGGCACCGGCGGCGGCGGTCCAGCTGGGCATGCCGCCCAACATGGGCTTGAGCGGCGGCGGGCGTCGCTGCGGCGGAGACGTCGACGTCGAAACCGACACGAGCTTCTTGGCGTTCTTGCGCGGCGAAAACGACGGCATCGTCTCGACCTTGAATTGGAGACCGAGGCTGCTCGACGACGTCGAGTGCGTCCGGGCGCTCCGCGCGCCCTCCGAGAGCTGCTCGCGCAGTTCGGCCAGCGTCTCTTCCAGCTTGCGCTCGCGCTCCCGCAGCGTCTCGATGTCGAGCGCCGAATGCGACAGCCTCGACTCGAGCTCCTCTGCAGCCGCCTTGAACTCGTCTCGCTTCGCCTCGGCCTCTCGGATCTGCGTCTGAAGCGCCGAGGCACTCGATTCGGCCTGCAGGCCTCGCGAGATGGCGGTCCGGCTGGCTGCCACGGCGCCCCGCAGCTTGTGCGACATGGCCTCGATCTCGCGTCGCAGCGCGGCCGCCGCGACCGCCGGCGACGACGATGCGGCGCCCGCCATGTCCGCGTCGTCGGCCCCCGAAGAGACCGGTGGCGTCGGGAGCGGCGCCTCAAAGGCCGCGTGGAGCGCCTTGAGGTCCAGCGTCGAGGCGGCGGCGGCATCGACATCGGGCACCATGCCGGCCACGGCCGAGGCCAGCCGCTGAGCCTCGCGGAGCTGCCGGTTCGTCTCTGGGTCGACTTCCGCATGCGCCTCTCCGGCGTTCGAATGACTGACGGACCGCCTGCCGTTGGACCCGAGAAGTGGGCTGGACCCGAGAAGTGGGCTGGACCCGAGAAGTGGGCTGGCGCCGACGCCGAGTCCGCGTGCCGGGACATTGCCGCCGCCGAATTTGCTGATCAGGTTGCCGACGCCCTTGCCGGATGAGGGACCGCCGAGGGGACCCGAAGAGGGGCCAGACGCGTTGGCCGCTCGCAGCTGCCGCTCCAGGTCGCTGTTCTGACTCGTCAGGGCCTCGATCCGACGCTCGAGGGCCTTGACGCTGTCGTCGTCCCGCGCCGATGGCGACGGCAAGGGAGCGGCAGATCGAGTCGACTCGGGCGCCGCGGCGGTCTTGATGTTCGATGCGCTTGCCTCTGCCACGCGCCGCAGTTCCTCGAGCTGCTGCTTGGCTGTTTCGGCCTCGTCACGCCACCGGGCGGCCTCCTGCTCGGCCTCGTCCAGCTCGTTTTCCAGCTGGCGGAGGGCGGGCGAGCTGTAGGAGCCGACGTTGCCGTTGGCGGTCCCGCCGGTCCTGGCCAGCTCGTCGGCGAGGTCCTCGATGTGCGTCTCAAGACTCGTCAGCAGGTCGGCAATGTCCTGACCGGCCGTCTTCTTCTTCTTGACGAGGCCGCCCGCTCCGGCCTTGATGCGCTCGAGCAGGTCGTCCATCTCTTCACGGCCCTCGAGCTTGCCGAGCATGCGGGCGCACCGCTTGTCCTGGTCCTGCAGCCGCCTCTCGGCGCTCTCGAGGCGGCGCTCAAAGGCGTGGAAGAGCTCGTCGCGCTCGGCCATGATCTTGCGCTCGGCTCCGACGGCCAGCTCAAGCTCTCGCAGCCCCGCGTCAGAGGCGAGGGCGCGAGCCTCGGCCTCTCGCGCCTGCTGCTGTGCAGCGGCGATTTTGGCCTCGGCATCGGCGCGGGCGCGCCGCTCCTCCTCGAGCTGACCCTGGAGCGACGTGGTGGTCCGAAGCTGGCTGTCCAATCGAGCATGAGTCTCAGCGGATTGCTGCTCGGCGGCGCTCAGGGCAGCCTTGACGCTGACCAAATCCCGCGCCTGGTCCGAAGACAGGCGTTCAGCTGCTGCGCGCGCGATGGCCGCCGTGTCGAGCTCAGAGGCCCGCTGGGCAGCCAGCGTGTCGGCCGCAGCCTGCGCCTCTTTTGCCTGCTGCAGCTCGCGCGAGCGCTGCTCGGCGAGTTCCTGCGCCTCGGCGAGCTGGGAGCGGACCTTGTCCAGCTCTGAGGCGCGATCCGCGGAAGCCTTCTCGACGAGCGCATGCTGAGCGGTGAGCTTGTCAAGCTGAGCGCCTTGCTGCGAAGCTCGACGTTCGGCCTCCTCCAGCGCCTCTTTGACCCTGGCGAGCTCGCGGGACGGGGGAGTCTCGGCGTCGGCGGTGGGCACGACGCTGCGGATGCCTGTGACGTCGCTCAGTTGTGCGGACCGAAGCTCGGCCTGGGCATCGCGCGACCGCTGGAGCTCCCCCCGCAGGCGTTCGAGCGTCGTGTCCTGAGCTTGGAGCGCCTGCTGCATCGCGCTGACACTGGCCTCGTCCTCTGCGCTGCGGCTGCTGCCGATGCCCGGCGGCTGAGTCGATTGCAGCTTGGCGTGGGCTTCCCGGGCCTCCTGAAGCTCCCTTCGCAGCTGCTCGAGGGTCTGCGTCGCTTGAGCATCGGCCTGCTGCACTGCCGCCGCTTGGACCGGCTGCCTGGCGACGCTTGCGTTCCGCAGCTGTTCGATCTCCCTCTGCAGCTGCTTGACCGTCGACTCTCGCTCCGCGAGGGACTGCTGGGCTGCCTTGGCATCGGCCTCGAGCTGCGCGATGCGAGACGTGCCGGTCTGGCTCGCCTGGGCGGACTGCAGCTTGGCGTGAACATCGCGGGATTCCTGCAGCTCCCGCTGCAGCTCCGCGACGGCCTCTTGCTGCGTAGCGAGGCTCTGCTGCGCGGCCTTCGCCTCTGCCTCGAGCTCTGCCGCGCGTTGGCTGCTGGCATCGCTGGCCTCGAGCGCTCGTGTCCGGGCGTCCTGGGCGTCCTGGAGCTGCCTTCGCAGCTGCTCGAGTGTCGCCTGCTGGGCCTCCAGTGCCTGCTGAGCTGCTTTGGCGTCGGCCTCGTCCTTCGAATCTGCCTGCAGCGACACCGCCCTGGCATGGGCTTCTTTCGCGACGCGCAGCTCCTGCTGCAGCTGCTCCACCGTGGCCTGCTGCGCTTCTAGGGCCTGCTGCGCAGCCTTTGCGTGGGCCTCGTGCTGCGCTTCTGACTGGACCGACTGCAATCGGGCCTGCGCGTCGCGGGACTCTTGAAGCTCCTTTCGCAGCTGGTCGAGGGTCGATTGCTGCGCATGGAGGGCCTGCTGCGCCGCCCTGGCGTTGGCCTCGTGCTCGGCCACCTGGCCCGCGAGCCTCTGCTCGGCCTCGCGTACCGCTGCCTCTGCGCGGCTGGCGAGCTGGACCGAGTGCTCGCGACGCTCAGCATCCAGCCGCTGCTGGAGGGTGAGCTGGAGCGCCTCCTGCCCCTCTGCCTCATCGCGACGTCCTTGGTCGAGTTGCTGTCGCAGCCGTTCGAGTTCTGGTGCGAAGCGGTCCTTTTCATCCTGCAGCGCCTCCACCTGCGCGCTCGTACGCATGAGCTCCTCGGCCGCGGCCTTTGCCTCTCGCCGGCTCTGCTCGAGCTCCTGCTTGAATGCCGCCGCCTGCCGCTTGCTCGCCTCGATCTCGTCGGCCGTCGCTGTCAGCTGGCGGCGGGTCCGGTCCAGAGCGCCTCGCGTCTGGTCCAGCTCGTCGGTCAGGCGCTTGACCTGTTCCGGCAGGCTGGCGTCGAGGAAGCTGAAGCCGCTCCCGATGCTGCCGTTCGAAACGAGCCGACTGTGGCTCAATGGGTAGCTGGGGCCCTGCGGCTGGTAGGGTTCGTCGCTGTCGACGCCTGCCCGGATATCCTCGCTGGTCAGGGCGCGGCTCTCGCGGATGGTCATGCTGGAGACGTTGGCGTGGCCGTTGGCGTTCCCGCCAAAGGACGCGGACCGCGCCAGGGACGCCGTCGAGGCCGACGTGGCGAGGCGGGGCAGCCGCTCCTCGATCAGCGCCCGGTCCGCCTCGAGGGCGTCGACGCGCTCGATCAGGGCGGCCGCCTGGTGCTCGAGCACCATCCGGCGCAACATCTGGGCGCGGTCGTTGAGCTTGAGCAGGTCCCGCGTCACCTTGTCCACCTTGGCCATGGCCGTGGTGGCGTCCTCGTCTGCCTTTGTCTCGCTCGTAGAGATGCGGCCGCGCGGGCCGATCGAGGGAGAGGCGAGGCCGTGCGGCGTGCCGGGCACCGGGCTGACGGGCGACAGCACGCTCGACGGCGCCTTGCGATGCGCCTTGCGGAGCGCGACGGCGGCGTCGCGGATCTTGGCCTCGACCTTGAGCTTGACCTTCATGGTGGCGATCTTGCTGTCGAGCTGCTTGAGCTCGCGCTTGGCGCTGGCCACGTCCTCGAGGCTCAGCAGGCCGTAGTCTTGGCAGTCGACGCGGGCCTGGTCGAGCACGAGCCGGTTGAGCATCTCGTCGCGGGTGCTGGGCGCCAGCTGCGACAGGCCTAGCAGGTTGAGGCTGCTGCCGACGGCGCTGAACGTCGAGCCGCCGGCCGAAGAGGCCGGCACATGGCTCCGGCTGGCCGTCGACACCTGCGTCGTGTTGGTCAGCGCGCGAGAGTGGCCGCCGACCCGCATCAGGCTGTGCTGGCTGACCGACGCAGGCATCCAGCCGATCGACGTCGAGGCGGTCGACTGCATCGAGGGCGCTGCAGAGTGGAGCGTGGCGCCGTGCAGCTTGGCCGAACCGGGCGTCGGCGTCGGCATGTTGGAGGTGTTGCTGACCACGGGCGACGGAAAGGCAAATGCGGCGAGGGAGTCGAGGGTGGGATCGGGAGCCGAGCTGGCGACGAAGCGGTTCTGGCCCCACACCGGCTCTTCGAGCATCGCAGACGAGAGGTTGGTCGAGATGCTCGTCCCGCGATCGCGGCTGTACCCGCTCGTGGAGCCAGTTTCGAAGCCGCCGCCGTGCGCCCCGAGGAGCGATGAGCCGCCCCAGGAGCTCGAGCTCGACAGGGGCGCCGTGGGGACCGATGCGTCGCCGAACTCGGGCAGGACCCCGAGCGCCAGGCCGAGATTGGGCCGCGTGGAGCCGCCGGGGCTGGTGTCGGCCGACGAGCGGCCGCTGCGTATCCCGAGGCCCACATCGACGGAGAGACTGCCGTTCGGGCCGCCAGCAATGCGATGACCGGAGGCAGAGGCACCTCCTCGGCCGGCGGCGACCGGGGCCGGTTCGTGCGTGTCGGCCACGAGCACCGTTGGCGGGTTGCGAGGCGAGCGTGAGGCCGCTCTCGAGTTGGCTCTGACCGAGGCCGAGCCTTGCCGCCCGGCATCACGAGACGAGCCGCTGGCGCGGCTGCCAGAGGTCGACAGCGTGCCGTGCTCCTGCTCCCGCGATGCGTCCGGGCCGCCGAGGCTGCTGCCCGACGGCGATCGCGACACGGGCGCCGAGAGCGTGTCCGAGAAGGCCGACTTTGGCAGCCCGCCAGCACCGGCGTCGAGGTAAACCACAGAGGACGGCGCCTTGGGGCCGAAGCTGTCCGACAGCTGGCCCGCTTCGAACGAGCTTTCGTTGGATTCCGCGCCCTGACGCATGGAAGGCTTCGGGCCCAACGTCACGTCGCCCCCGTCGATCTCGACGCTCGTATCGTCGGCGTTTGAGAGGCTGCTCGAATCCGCCTGGCTACTGCTGGCGAACCCGGCAGTCCTGAAACCGCTGCTCTTCTGGAGGCGGATCGGACGGGCCGCGCCGTCGGTCCGGTCGAGCTTGCGGATGGTGGCCGAGCTCGCCGTGGCGATCGTCGCCTTGGCCACGGTGCCTGCGTGGAAGGTGGATGCTGAGCCGGTGCTCACGTAGCTCTCCGCCCTCTCCCTGCTGCGTCCGTAGGCGGCAGAGATCGAGCCTGCGGGCGTGTGGAGTCCCGAGCTGGGCCCGCTGCTGGAGCCAAACTCGGACGATCCGACGGTATCCGAGCGGAGGTGCGAGGTCTGCGGCGGGTGTCCAAGTAGCGTGGTCGGCGCTCTCGCCGGGGACAGGCGGGAATTGCCGGAAGCGGGCATGCCGGCGAGCAAGGGCGCTGAGCCTGTCGGCGGCCGCTCCGAGGGAGCCTCTGCGCTCGACGGGAACGGCAAAGTAGGTTTCGGTAGTGACTTTTCGTCCCCCTGAACACCGGCCGACGGTTTGCTCGTCGGGGCCGCCTGCTGGCTCTGCTGGTCGTTGCCTGTGGGCAGCGACGGCGCTGATCGGGATCCGAGTTGCGTACCCGCGACAGGCAGCGTTGCGGCGAGTATGACCTCTGTGCTAGAGGCCGAGGAAGGGCCTGGCCCTTGCGTTGGCTGTCCCTTGCTGCCTGAGCTCGGGTCGTTGCTGCTCGCCGTCGCACTCCGAAAGAGCCTGCGAATGGAGCCGGCGGCCGCGCTCGTAAGTGTGCCGCTTCGATCTCTACTGCCGCTGCTGCCCGATCCGCCGCTGACACTGCCGCTGCCGCGGCTGCTGCTGCCGCCGGAAGTTGTGAGGGCGCTAAAGCTGCCCTTGCGCTCCGACGGCGCGACAGCGGCTCGGTTCGCTATCGGCGATGTGTCTGGGAAGGTGCGGATGTCCGAGTTGGCGCGGCCTGGCCCACGGACGCTGTTCGTGCCCGCCGAGCTGATCGAGTGAACCGAGCCTAGGGTGTCCCTGGACGCCGCGGGGCGAAAGGGGATCGACACGAGCGGCGGCTGCGGCGTCGAGGTCGTCGCTGCAGCAAAAGGGTCGCCTCCACCGACGCTGAGTGGGTAGAGCAGGCGCCGAGTGCCCCAATAGCCCGTGTTGTTGGGTATCTGCTCCTCGGGGCCGCCTATCCGCTCCGGGCTGAACTGGGCTCCGAAGTCTGCGATGGAAGCCGCCTCGAGCGACGTGGCAGCTGCGACGGCGGTGGTGGTGGCAGGAATGAGGACGGCGCCAGCGTTGGTGGCCGTGGCAGGAGCAACAGCAGAGCGAGCAACTCCGAGGGCGGTAGCGAAGGGGAGGGTCGCCGCGGATGGAGGGGGTGGCGGCGGAGGCGAGGCAAGGGTCTCGAAGCGTCCAAACTGATGCGCCGTGGCCGCAGCCTCCTTGTCGCGCGCAAAGGCAGGAGTCGATGGGTTGGTGGTGAGGTTGGTCGAGTCGGACGATTCCTCGCCTTCGTCGTCTTCGTCGTCGTCGTCGGTGGTGGCCTGAACACTACTGTCGACGCCGAAGCTCGACTGAAAGCTGGCGTGGGAAGACGAAAAGTCAAAGGTCTTGAGGACGTTGCTGAGGCTCGGGCCCAGATCTGCTTCGAGCCGCGATGAGCTCTCGGAACGGGGGATGCCAAACTCGTTGACGTCGACTGGATCCAGTCGGTCCGTCCTGGCGGGTCGATTCGGCTCGCCAACTTCGGAGCTGACGATGCGGGGTGGACCGGTCGACGTTATCGTCACGCCGGCAGACATGGAGGAAGGGGCGCGCGGGCTCCCGTCTCGCGACGATGGGGAGCGCGCGAGCCAAATGGCCGACCGACACTTGTAGGTAGAAGTGAGGGCGCTGGGACGACGAGGCGATGCGAGACGGCGGGAGAGCAGACGGATCAGACAACGTTCAGCATAGCGCGGGTCAGGCCTGAGCCCTTTGACCTAGGCTTGGTGGAGGTTCGGTGTAGGCATGGCCGAAGCGCGGCCGTTTGGAAGGATGAGACCTTGGTCTAGGGGTTGAGACACGCGCTTAAGCGCACTCACCGGTTTGGTGCTCAGTCGAGCCTGAAAAGGTCAGAGAGCCTGGCCAGGGTTGTATCGGGCCGTGGAGTCGCGAGCGGATACGGTCTCCCCCCTTGCAGCGATACCGCAGAAACCGGCTCGCAGGAGCAGGCCTGACGAATGTAGAGTCGGCACCGATCGTGCCGGACGATGGAGACGGGAGCACAGAGCAAATATGTTGGTCTAGAGCAGGTTGAGAGCGGCGGGTGGGCGATGCATAGCGGTCGAGTAGCAGCGAGGGCAGCCTTTGCCGTTGCGGTGCCAGGCTGTGCCAGAGAGATGCAGACGATCCAGGTCGGTGGCTCGGTGGAGCTCGATGGGAGCCTGCTTGGACCGTCTCGAGTACAAGAGATTGCCTTTATGAGCAAGAGGCCTTTCCGTCCGCCGAGGCCGGTAGCACGGTACGTCGGGTAGCTCGTGAGGGGACTGCGCAAGTTTCGGACGCAGTCGACGGTTCCGCCTCGGTCGGGTGTCAAGCCGCAGTAATGGATCGAGGTGGGCAAAGAAGTGGGCGGTAGAAGCGCGGATGCGTGATGACCCTGCGACACCCAGCGGCGATGGGCGACTTCGAGCTGCGCTGTTCCGATTAGGACGAGGATTGGGGGTGGGCTAGAGGTGGTGCTGGCCCGAGCTTTGCTGGTGGCGAGTGCGCGGTTGTGCGACGGCGAGCGACGACGATGGGAGCAAAGATGAGGGCTCCCAGGTGAATGAGGCGGGCGGCAAGAGTCTGCAAATATCGTATGGTATGGGTATGATTGGCTCCGATCGAGGGTCAGAGGCTGCGCCCGTCAACAGAAGTCGTTCCAGACCGAAAACGACGACAATGACGCCAGCGGTAGTGTCTGGCGCGATGGGCGATGACGGCGCTGGTGATGGTGATGGTGATGGTGGTGGTGGTGGTGGATGGTGACGGCGTCCGGGCTGTCGGAGATGGGCGAGAAGCCGATCAACTGGTCGGATGCGGGTGGGAGCGCCAGCTGCGGGGCAGGAACGAGATGAGGCAGGCAAGTCGAGATAGGATAGTCTGGATATCGATACGAGGCAAGGGCCAAGCAGCCGACGGTGCCAGAGCCGAGAGCGCGCTCGGAGGAGTGCGAGATTAAGAAGTCGGCGTGAAAGAAGGGAGGCAAATGGAAGGTGCCAAGGGGCAAGATGGAGGCCGGTGGGCCCGATATGGACAGCGGGATGGGCCGAGGAAGAGTGAGGACGACGACGAGGATGAGGGCGAGGAGTCGTCGTTGAACGAAGGGAAAGGCCCGCAGCCCGCCCAAGCCCAGAGAGCCTACGTGAAACTGGCGCCTCGGCGAAGGGGCCAGGCGCGGAGCTTGGGCGGGGGCGAGGGCGCGGGCACGCATTCAGCGAAGCGGGCGGGCCAAGGAGGACCCTTTCTTGAGAGGGGGCCTGCTTGCTTGGCCCTAGCCTCGGCCTGGCTAGCCTCTCCCTCTCTCTCTCCTTCTCCGCCGGGCCGCGCCCTCATAGCTCGGCCCAGCCTTCTACGCCTCGCTCGAGCGCTTTGCACGATGAGGCCGCCGTGCGAGCTGGCTGGTCTACCGGTATCCGATCCGTATCCCGCTTCAGGCTGCCGCCATATCCCCAGGGCTTCCTTCGTGAGTGCGCCAGCAGCGCCGTCCGACCGACCATCTTCCGACGCCACCTCGTCCTGCCTCTTCTCCCTGTTTCTCTCGCAATAAGAATGATAAATTCCGCCTGCTGGAAATTGGACGCCCTCGCCCCACCACTCTGACTCCCAGCCCCGCCGACTCTCCCCTGCCGTCCTTGGGCGATGGGCCAACCAATCGACAAGGTGGCGAGCGAGGCGATCCGCCATGATGTCGGGGCGCCGCAAACGAGTAGTAGTGAGTTGCACGCTGCGGCGGCCTGGGTTGGCGGAGGGGCGGGGCAGCGCTGCAGCTGGGCGCGTTCCAGCAGGCAGCAGGCGAGCGTACGTGCTGCTGCCTGCGTCATATCTGGCTGGCTGCGACCGCCTGACAGGCAGGCGGGTGGACCCCACAGGCGAGGTGCAGCAGGCAGGCAGGCAAGCAGGCAGGCAGGCAGGCAGGCAGGTCGATCCGTCCTTTGCCCCTGATCACCACCACGCCCGCAGGCGATGCCAGGCCAGGCCAGGCCAGGCCGTACCAACACCTCTCGTTCCCGGTCCCTCTTGCTCGTCCTGCCTTTCTTTCGCCGCTGGTCTCGACGCTAAATCAGAGCTCAGAGTACGTCGTAGGCTGGCCCATGCAGGGAACGTCTTGAACGGCTGCGCTTGGGAGGTGCGCGAGCGAGGCCGGCGACTGGCCGCCTGCCATGCAGAAGGCAGAAGAAGCAAGGCAGGCCAGGCAGGCCGATGTCTCGGACGCGACGCGCTCGCCGCCGGTCAGGCCTCTGCCTGCTGCCTGCCTGCCTGCTGTTCTTCGGCATCTCGGAGCGACGGGAAGCCAAATAATGGCGCCCGCCCGTTTCTGTGCCGTTTTCGAAGACCGCCAAACGGTTCCATATTCGGCCTGTCCCCTTTTCGCCTTTGCCCCTGTGGACGGCAGCGAGCGGGAGGGAAGCAGGCCGAGCAAGGCTGCGTGCGTGGCGTGAAACGGAAAGCGGTGGTCAAGCTGAGCGGCGGCAGCAGCGCGCAACGACGAAGAGGGCACGGTGATATGGGCCGGTATGGCGAGCGAGCACGCACGTTGGCAGACGCTCGAGGCCGTCGACATGGCCAGCAAGATGGGAGGCCGGGAGGCGGCTGCTTCCGATGCCACCGGTTGGCCCTCTGACCGACGCGGCACTCTAGCTCTATCCGCCCTGGCGACGACCGCTTCTTGCTAGCTTGCTTGTTTGTTTCCGGTAGATGGCCCCCCCCCTGGCCTCCGGGTCGGGCCGCGCGTAGAGGTTACATCGAGGCACCGCCTGGCCGCCAGGGCCCTGGCTTGGCTGAGAGGAGTGCCCCTCGGCTTCTCGCGGTGCTGCTTCTGCCGCTGCTGCTCAGGCAGGGTCTCTTGTGGCCTGCATCCCGTGCTCGACTCCTGGCATGACGGTGGTCGGGATGCACGCGCGCGTACGGGTGGCCGATAACGCTGCGCCGCGCCGCGCTGGCCGTAGTTAGCTCGCAATTGGGTCGGGAGCGGTGCGGGCGAGTGCTCTTGATCGAGAGACAGCAGCGGCGTGCAGGCATCGCTCTGGTACTTACCGGCTGGCTGGCCTGCTGGCTAGCTCGCAGAGTTCCCATCGCCCTGACCGGCGGCTGAGCAGCCCGCCTGGCATGGATCGCGCCGTAGCCGGCCATAGTTTGCTCGCACGCCGGACCGGGGGGGGGGGGGGGGCGGGCGACGACGCGGAGAGAGAGGGAGAGAGGAGGAGGAGGACGGGACGGCGGGCCGGTACCGGTA